GGGAGCGGGAGGGGGCGCACACGTCCTCCGCGCTGCCCGGCCGCGGCTCGGCGCGCCCGGCTTTCACGTGTGAGTCGTCAGGGTTCCTGCGAAGTGCGTAGCGCAAGCTGGGCCCGGAGAAAACGGCCGCTGTTTTATGTGGACTGAATATATTACTAATCCTAGTTCTCTACCCCCACACGGCACTTCCAGGACTGCGCTGAAAAAAAGCAGAATGTTAGGAACTGAACCGTAACCCATGGGAGACAACTGTGATGAGATGAACAGGGCGCCAGAGATGAGTTAAAGCTGACCTCTCAGCAGACGCTATTGTCTAAGCCTGTAGATGACGCGTTAGTCCGGGCAACTGAATATGTTCTTGGATTTAGAGTACAACATGGCTTCCCCTTCATTCATGTTTTTGCATACACTCAGCAGCCAAAAGTTTTGAAAGATAAAACAATGATTTTTAGTCTGTCACATTAACACGGACAACTCTCATTTACTCTCCCAGCCCACCCTTCTGTGGCTTTCTCTCTTGCATCAAATCAGAGATGGCATCAGCAACAATTTGAGGCTCTCCAACCGCTCCTAATGCAGACTTTGCTTTCACGACCTCAGTCAGACCAGCTCCCCTTCCTCTTCCAAGAGCCCACTGTAGAAAACCGGGCCTGAAGTCCACGGAAGAAGGCTGAGCGAGAAGGTGCTGCCCCCCTAACGTGCCCTTGAAGGCTTCTACCCACCCCTATCCAGAAATCTCTTCACTGATCAGGGGCCTCAGTCGGAATTCTTTGTAACGAGTTTAATGTTAAACAAATCTATTCAGTTATTTGGTTCTACTCTTCTTAGCTATTCTGTCTCTAGACCAAATGCGAATTTAAAACCTTTCATTCCAAGTCAACAAATATTGACTCAGCCTTCCAATGTGCAAGACAGGGCAGAGCGTTAAGGAAGGTGACTCTGAGCGAGCTATTATTTAAACTAGTTGCTGTGGACGACTTGTGGAGACCCATGTGTATCTGAGCACAACTGTGCTCCATAGTTTTCAATGGCTGGTTCTTCAGAAGTAGATCACCAGGCCTTTCTTTCAAGGCACGCTAGGGTGGATTTGAACCACCAACCTTGAGGTTAGCAGTCGAGCACAAGCCATCTGCACTACCCAGGGACCTCTTATAAATGTATAGGGAAATGAAAAAAATTGTAAAGCTAATGTTTGTTTGGTACATTGTAATTTAAAACAGTAGAAACATTGAGCTATTTCCTTGTTAAAAAAGAAAAACTTACCAAGAGTAGTTTGAACCTTGCTTGCCTTCTCATTCTATAACCTATCTTTCCCATACCTTGATAAATTGTCATACTCCTTTCTAAGTTTGGGTCAGCTTCCAACACTTTATCATTGGTATTGTCAATGTTTGCAATATCTCCAAGAGTTTCCTTAATGTGAAGTCGCTCCCTCTAGACATTGTCACCCTTTCGTAACAGCTGTTCTGCGGGATCTGGGTGCAGACGCCTGCAGCATCCTTACCTGCTCAAGCAGCTTTACTAGATAAATAAAAACACAAATCAGTTCATGTTGATTTCTGAAATGATGAGACCAGCCTTTACTGGCAGTAAGAGGTTCTTTTTCAAGTCTATTTATATCTCCCATTTTTTTTCAATGGGGCAACTGACTTCCACACTTTGTCCTGAATGCTAGCCAAACTGACTGGTATTTTTTTATTATTAATGTTACAGTCTTCGAAGTAGAAGAAAGTCTCCATTTCAATTACAAACAACTTCCTGTTCCTAGAACAATTTAAACTAAAAGATATTGAAGCAACTTTACCTTGTTTTTCACATTCGTTGGGCTTCTTCCCTGCGTTCCTACAGCACCTTCATGCGGCCTAGGTCTCATCCTATCTTTGCTTTGCTGTCATCATTTTCAAGTCTCCTAATCACATCCAATTTCACTTCCAACATTATCACTTTTTGTTTCTTTGCTGTACTTTGATCTTTGTTGGCCAGTTCCCTCTCTTGATTATCCATTTTTGTAAAACATCGGGTGGGTTTATCACTGGGAGACAAGGAGGCAGCACAACTCCATGACGGACTTCCAAAGAAGGAGCGTGATGCACATCTCTTATCTCCATAAGTGATTTGTGGACTGAAGAGCTAGCTGTGAAGTTCACCTTATGCAATTTCTCACAGTTAATATACCGTGGTAACTGAAATTTGTGCATGTCAACACTGCAAAGCAAGTACTGCCTTATTAAATGGGTCTTCGGAGTGAATAGTGAAGTCGCTGAGAATGATGGCAGGAGGTGGGTGACGATGAAGATTGTGATCCTGTAACTCGAGTCTTCAAGTAATGAGATAGAATAAGGCAGGGGACGATAGGCCATCGCAGCAAATGGAGGTAAAGGATTATGTGTCCAGAGAGCATTAACACCAAGGAGCTACAGAGTCTTAACATCAAAGACTCTGCGACATGAAGGAGTGAAGGGAAATATAGTTTTCACCTAGGAGGGGTGCAGTGGGACTCCCCCTTAAGGAGAGTCAGGTTGTTTATAAGGAAATAATCTCAAAATACATCTGGAGGAGGGGTTGGGAATCTAGAGAAGTTTGTGGAACCACGGAAGGGGAGTTCCAGAAACCACTGTAAAAACCCCTGAGAAGCAGGGAGTCGGATTGGAGGACGTTTGGATTTCCGCTAGCGACTGAAGTGAACACTCAGGTGGCATTTACCGTTACTGGCTCTCGTGGTTCCCTAAAGAACAGTGGGCACTCAGTTCAGAAGTTGTGGCCCTGGATATTTAGCAGGGTGGTCAGGTGGCTTCAGGATGACTGCACCTTTTTCTAGGCTCACAGTGAAGTGGCTGCCCCGGTGGTGTGGGGAAAGAGTTACATGATAGCAGGGCAAATGTTTTCTTGGCAAGGCCTGAATATGGCTTCTAGGGGAAGAAGAGGTGGGAAGGGGTGATGACAGTGGTCATGTCTTTGTGTGAGGGGGGCAATTATAGAAATGTGCACAAAGATATCAGGAGAGTACAGAGGAGGGTCTAAACCAGCCTCTACAGGGGGTAGGACGAGAGTCGTTGCAAGAATTACAGGTGTTTGTAATGGCCTGGAATCCATCAGCCTCAGAAAATGGCAGACGGTATCACACACATTATGTAGAATCTAGAGCCTCAAGAGTATGCAGAGGAGTCCATACTTGTTGTTAAAAAGAATACAATTTAAGAAGTGTTTATCGAATTGGAGATAAAAATGTGGATAATCAAAACGACTACAAGGTTCACACATGTATAAACTTTGTGTATTTTCGAGAAGTTTGGAAACAAACGTTTTAGGATGCGGAACAAGCTATTCACAGTAAAGAGCAAACACCAAGGCCAGTGCAACATAACTTTCTGTTTCATGTTTAGCTGCAACCCAGCTGTCCCATGCAACATCCCAGATCCCTCTGCTGGAAACCTGTAGGAGAAATTGGAAAAAGACCAACTTCAGATGAAGCATTTTAAGAAGTAATTGTTAAATCTAAATAAGTTTGAGAGATGTATCAGTATCTTAGAAAGATATACTTAAAAAGTAATTGGTCCAATTTTCCCTTTCCTGGCAAGACTAACTAGTGATGCTCCTCAGCCCGTCAATCCTTCTCTCCTGTCTGGAGGATGGTAGCTCTCTAACACAGAGGCTCCAGGCAGAGGGTCCCCAATGGCAGGGCTGGAGGCTGCTCTGTAACCTGGGTGTAGAACCTCTGCCTAAGGACTCCTGGGGGGCACAAATGGTTAAGCGCTTGCCCACTAGCCAAAAAGGCTGACAGTTCGAACCCACCCAGAAGCACCTTCGAGATAGGTCTGGTGATCTGTTTCTGAAAGGTCACAGCCTTGAAAACCCTACGGAGCAGTTCTACTGTGCGCACATGGGGTCGCATGGAATTGCCTTGAAGGCAACTGGTCAACTCCGCATATTAACTACTCTACTGTATTATACTTTATGATAAGGAATTATTCTTCCTACTCTTAAAACTTTTTCAACTGAAAGTTCATTAGGACCTTAACTTGAAATGAAGAAATGATATTAATCATACTATTAGGCTGTTACAGAAAATCCTAACTCCTTTGCTGGGCTTACAAATCTATAAGTGATCTGGCGGATTTAACCCAGCCACAAGTCCTTTGCAGCTTCTCCCATTAAAAAATTGAATCTATTTCCCACCCCTCGCATATGAGTTGGCCTGTGACTTGCTCTGACCATCAGAATGTGACACTGTGTAGCTTCCGCTCTGGTCTCTTGGAAGCTGTCCTAAGACACGACGCAAGGAAGCCTATTTATCTGCTGGAGGATGACGGGTCACCTACAGAAGCATCCAGGTGCCCCAGCCGACAGCGAGACAGTATCAGACTGGTAAGCCAGGCCATCTTGGATCTCCAGCCCTAGTTGGGTCTCCAGATAGCAGGAGCAAGACCAGTAGAAAAACCATGCAGCTGGTCCAGGCTACGCTGACCCACAGAATGGCGGGCAAGTAGATGGCTGTCGTTTTAAGCGACTAAATGGGGGGGAGGGATGTTTTGCAGTAATAACAGCCAATACACCCCCACTCCATATTGCACCACCCTCCACTAGCTAACACACCCCAACGACACTTATTAATCAAGCAGGAGTTGTTTCCTGCCCTAGGATCTTTGCACTAGGTGTTTTCCTGCTTGGAATGTCCTTCTCTGATCTGCTGCCCAGCCGTCCCTTCTTGTCCCTCAGACATCAGAGGGCCTTCTCTGTCACCAGGCGGCTCATGTAGCCACTCTGTCACCCTGTCACATCACCAACACACAGCACCTGTAACCATCTAAGCTGTTTCCTGTCACGTAGGTGTATGTACGCAGTCCTTGTCTTCTCTGCTAGAACGCACGCCCGCTCTGGGCATAGGAAGCATCCGTCCTGCTCACTGTCACCTCCCCAGAGCCCCTCCACCTCCACCTGCCCACCGCTCCTCCCTGTGCTTCAGAAGGTGGGTCACTGGTTCCAAACAGAGACTTTTCTCTGTCTTCTCCCCAGCTGCTTTATCCACACTGCCAACTCAGTAGACACTCACGCGGCCTAGTGGCACTGTGTTTTTATCTGTAAATTATACAATAATAACCTTACTGTTCACTGAGGGCTCTGTGCTGGTGATACAGTAAGGATTTTAACACAAACACTCTCATTTAACCCTTATAGCAACCCTAGGAGATAGGTTGTATCATTACCACCTTGTAGATGAAGAGACTGTGCAAGGCCACAGCTATAGCCTGTGTGGCTGCTAAGCTGCACACCTAAGACACCTGACCCCAGAACCAGGCTCATCACATGTCTCCCAGTGACTTCCCTAAACTCCAAACTGAATTGCTTTGACTAGAATAAAAACTCCTTGGGAATCATGGACCATGTCTCATAGTTCTTTGCATTTTCTTCAGTACCTAACACCCATTGTTGTTGTTAGGTGCTGTCGAGTCAGTTCTGACTCATAGCGACCCTGTGTGCAACAGAATAAAACACTGCCCGGTCCTGTGCCATCCCCACAATATTGTTATGCTTGATCCCATTGCTGCAGCCACTGTGTCAATCCAACTCCTTGAGGGTCAAGGAAGACAGACAACTACGTGGCCAATGCCCATTAGGGCCCCAAATAGATATGCTGTTGTTAGCGTTAGCTACTATCGGGTCCACTCTGACTCATGGTGACCCCATGGACAATGGAACAAAATGCTGCCTGGTCCTACATTAGACACTGTTCTGTTATGATCCAGAAGGTTTTCCTTGGCTAATTTTCAGAATTAGATTGCTCTGTTGAAACCTGTCCACCATGGGTGACCCTGCTGGTATTTGAAATACCAGTGGCATAGCTTCCAGCATCACAGCAACACGCAAGCCACCACAGTACGACATACTGACAGCTGAGGTGGAAAATAAAGGTACTGGTTAATTAATTAACTATTCAGTGACATTAAATTGTCAAAACAGGTATGATCAGGAAATAGGATATCCACGGAATACATTTTATTAGAAAATTACCGTTTCTAGGTTTGTACTTTCCAAACAATTTATAATTAAATAAAATATATTTAACAAAATTATCCTTTCATTCAGAAGGTACCTGTGGATGCTGAAATTCCCTGGAGTCATCACAATAAACATCAACTCATTGAGGAGGAGATATCTTATAGATCTAAGTGACAGATGCTGGATCAGTGAGGTACTTACATTTATTGCCTGGCCAGCCTTTTGAATGAATAATATTTTTATAATGAACTTGTAACGGTGGTACCCAAATTCCTTGACTGCTAACAATATGCGGTCTGCCAATTCAAGTGACAAATGAGAGAAGACCTTCTGATCATATTTCACATCTGTAAGACTTTCCTTTAAAAAATTTTAAGAAAAATATTTAATTTTCAAACCAAGTACTTTGTATATAGACATTCAAGTAGAGAACATGTGTCTAAATGATACATATAACTTATTTACAAAATGCACATATTTCTAACCAAATAATATTAAATGAGTTTTACACTTGCCAATTTACTTCAATAACAGTTTTGAAGAAAATTTATTTTGATTTTTGCATTATGTTTGTTTTTCATTACTGACACTTCAGGCCTCATCTACCTGAGTGCCCATTCGGAATACACAATGCACACTTGCTACAGGAAGACACCTACCTGCACCATCATTTCTGTGTCTAGAACCATGCTTGCTGCTCTCTGGGCCACCAAGCTGTTCCAGGTCCTATCAGACTCAATGTAATCCCATGACTATTACAGGTAAATGTAACGGGCAATCCTATTTATAGTCAATAGATTTTAAGTCAGTCTGGGTAGCAGGGCTGAGACACACCAAAATGAATACTCTCACATCCCAAATACTTGTTATTGGTGTTTGGAGTGGAGAAGCAGGTAATCAGTAGTACATTATCTTAAATTGAGTTGAAATTTTTTATTTCCTGAAGTCATGAGGCTTAAGAGATAGAAAAGAGCCAGCATTTCTCTCCCTGCCCCGCTGCAGTGGAGGCTCAGGAGAGTTTGTGATCGTTGGCAGAGATCGCCTGACATGAGTTCAGTTTAGAAACGGACCATGTCTGTGGTGGTGGCAGGAGGCTGGAGGGTGGGCCCTGTCGGTATTCTTCTGTCCTTGTATCTTAACCGTCCAGTAAAAGGACTGTAAGTGTCCACAATTCAACATCAGGAGAGAATGCGTTGAAGTGATCACATACAGTCAACACTTAAGTTCCCTTTAGCAAAGAAACTGCTGTATATTTTACTTTTCCCCAGCTTTTTATTACAAAAAATTTCAAAAATACAGAAAAGTAGAAAGAATAGTACAACGAATACATGGATCCCCTCCGCCTAAATTCAAGAATTATGAATATTTTGCTTTATTTACTTTATCTCTACACACACATATTTTTTGGTGCACCATTTGAGAAAAAGTTGTATCATTAACACTTTACTCTTACATACTTGAGCATACTTTCCTAATAGGGGCAATCTCTTACAAGATCATGATACATAATCACCCCAAGAAAATTAGTAATGATCCCATGAAATCATTAATATCTAGTAGCATTCACATCCATATCCAAATTTCCCCAGGTGTCCCAAGAATAACCTGTAAAAACATTTTTTTTTGCTTGCCTAAACCAGGATCTAATCCAAATTCACACATTATCTTGGTGTACACTTTTGCAGACAGTTTTATGCCCATCAGATTTTCATAATGCTACCTTAATTTACCTATCAGAAAAGTGGAGTCTTAGCCAAGTTTCCATTGTCCCTAACATTACAGTCAATGAATATTTGGAGCAGCAATGAATAGAAATGAAGAACTCCAGAGCAGAGATACTTCAAAAACTGTTTACAGGCAATCTCCACCTAGCAGATAATGCAAGCAGATGGTCATTTCTCTCCTCCTACCCATCCTCCTACCCAGTTCCCCAGCTGACTCTTACCTGAATCTGCAGGTTCAGAATGATAGGAGAAGGAAGGGCTGCAAGAACAGGAACCGATGCGACGGTCAACTGAGGGAAAGCTTCCCAGAGAGGGCTGAGGTCTACCTAACTGCTACATGCCCAGCCCCCACATTCCTCTCCTTCCCTAGACTGCGCTGCTCGCTTGTGCACCAGCTTAACTTATATCAATAGGAATATAATTTTATTAATGTTTCAGTTTAAAGAATTAATTTTGATGTGATTAAAAGGGTATTGGGTCACCATGAGTCAGAATCAACTCGAGGGCAATGGGTTTGTTTTGATTTTTCACTCATTTATACAAAATAAATATATACTTTCTTCCCAATAACCAGCTTAGCTGTTACAGAAGAAAGTATCTTTTAAGCAGGTGGAGGGTAATTTTAAAACAATGAACCCCTCTAGGGTGGGATTCGGCTGTGTGGAGACCTACAAACGAAATTTGGTGATCTGGAAACTTCTAGGTGCATGCAGAACTCGGAACCATAGGTGAAAGGTGGATTTAGAAAAGGAGCTTCCCCAATAAATTTCCTATAATTAAAAAAAAAAATTAATTTGGTCCTTTATTAAGAAATATGGTGAGAGGACTCTTTCGACCTGAACAATGTAGCCTTCAGATACCAAAACTAGTATAAATAGTATTAGTATTATAGTATTAGTTTTGCAAAACTGAAGTTTTGGGGAGCTAGCCTGGAAACATGTGTCTGAGTTTCAAACAACTGTTTTAAGTGAACTTTAGATACTAGTCAGTTTAAAGAAGAAAACAACCTATGTATAAATTGGGGACGGTCTATTTTTAAGATTTTTTAATGTAGTCAGGAACCCATTTTTCACACATGTCCACATAGTCAATGTTTTTTTTTTTTTTTTTTTTTAACTCATTCCTCCAAATATGGGAGAAACATGGGACCTTAGGGATAAATATAATTAAGAGTTGACTGAAATAACAAAAGAAATTCCATTTAATCTGGCTCAGAGCATCGATGTGAAGATTACTGAATAATGACTACAGTCAGTGTACTTTGAGATTTTTCAGAGATCAATGCTACCAAATATAAATGGGGGTAATTATACTATCATAAATCTTAATATAGTTGATCAAACCCCCACAACCAAGATATTGCTATGATATATTTTAGAAAATATCTATCAACCTACCGTTAATACCTGCTGGACTTTAATTTCCACTGTATGAGCTTGGAATTTCTTCAGTGGTTCCATTCTATATGAATTAGCAAACTTTAATTTTGCCAGGGCACTCTTCCATTCTTTACCTATATCAGCAATTGAGTCATCAAATGGAGGCTCCACATACTGAACATCATGGATTGATTCTCTCAGTCTTTCCCGTAAGATCTGTGCATACTGAGACAGAGAGATGTCAGGTTAAAGTACTCCGGTGCAGTGGGACAGAGCTGACGTAAAGCTGCAAGTCTGGTATGACAGACTATCACAGCGTGGTTGCCATGTTTGAGGGGATGGCTGGCCTTCAGTAAGCTAAATCTGGGCAAAGTGAACTGCTTTAATTATTTACAACATTTATTAAAACACTGTTCTAGGTTCTGTGGGGGGTACACAAAAGTATTTTGTTATTTAAGAAGTACGGTGCTAGGTTCTAAGTGGGAATGTTCAAGTGTTTCCTATTCAACAAGCACTTAATGGACATCCAAAGTATAAAATGACAGCTAACATCTACTGAGGGCGTAATGTGTGCCAGGCTCTCACCTTCTGCGAGCTTTATGTGTGCCATTTGATGTAATCATCAAACCACCCTGCTCTATTATCCTCATTCTACAGACAAGACAACTGGGGCAGAGACAGCTTGGGTAATTGGTCCAAGATCACACAGTAGTAAGAGACAGAGCTCTTAGTTGGGGACATGAGGTAGGTACATAAAAACTACAGAAAGCAGGAAGAAATCAATGCAATGAGCAGCTGGATGGGGAGGACTTACTCATATTTGTATTCTGTGTATTGAGCTCAGTGTTTGGCACATGGAGGGCTCAGTATGCAATAAATTAACGAGTGAATAAAGGTACAGAGTCATTCATTCATTCTATGTGCCAGGTACATACTACAGATATGGCTATGAAGAAGACAGACAAAAATGCCTGGCTTCCTGAACCTTACAACCTACAGAGGAGAAAAATGATAAGCAAACAATAATGTAACATGATATGAGATAGTGATGAGTACTTGTAAAATGCTGGTAGTAACGTCAGACCTCGCCTGCCTTCACTGGGGATAATGAGGATCACCATCAGCACAAAGCCAATTCCTATGAAGTGGAGGCCAGGTATACTTCCACTCTCCAACCTTTTTACCAATTATGAAACCAGCCGTCCCCTCCACAGGGCACTCACTACTTCTGTGCGGGGTTTGATAAACCATTACGATGGCCACACAAAACTCACAGACCATACTTACATTCAAGTGGTTTATTAAGCAAGTAACAGGGTGCAACGTGGGGTCAGGATCGACGGGCTACAACCAGGATCAGGATCAGGAAGCATGTAGGCAAAGTCTGGAAGGCTCCCCTAAAGTAGAGAGCACACCCCACCTTCTTCAGCGCAGGACAGCTCTCTCAGCTCTTGGGTGAGGAAGCAAGCAGGCTCTTCTCCCAGCCCCCTGCGGACAGGCTACTTCTCAGTCCCCTCAGGACGGGCTTCCTCTCAGCCCCCTGAGGACAGGCTGCTTCTCAGTTCCCTCAGGACAGGCTGCTTCTCAGTCCCCTGAGGACGGGTTTCCTCCTAGCTCCCTGCGGACAGGCTACTCCTCAGTCCCCTCTGGACGGGTTTCCTCTCAGGCCCCTGAGGACAGGCTTTCCCTTGGCCCCGTCAGGACAGGCCTCCCTGCCTTCAGCCTCCTGCCATCAGCCTCTCCACTGCTGACCCAGCTCACAGTCAGGGGAGCAGTTCTGTTCAGCTCTCTTAGCTGCATTGCTAGCAGCAGGTTTCTGCCATCACCACTGACTCTGCTACAGGGCCCCTTCCAGGACTGGCGCTGTCTTCAGTGCTTCATCCCTTGACCCGTGTTACAGCTGTTTGAGGAGGTTCCTCACCTCCTCTCTCTCCACTTCTCTCTTCTTGCCTCTCTTGTCTTTTCTCCATTCAGCTTCTTTTGTTCTTCTCTTTCTGTCTGGCAACCTCTGTGGGATTGGCTGCATGTATAAGCAAACTGCTGGTCAATTTCAAGGCATGGCCTTCCACCAGGGCCATGAACTAACCAATCCCCTCTTGGTAGGCCATGGACACTTCATTTGCATAGTCCATAGTCACTTCATTTGCATAAGTATATTGACCAATCCCTGCAAAGTGCATAAAACAGACCAATCACAGGGCAGGCTACAGCCCTGGGCCAGGCAAAAACTATTAAACCATCCTTGTTTACAGCTTAGCCAGGAAGTGTCAATCAACCTGGATAAAAGTAACACACCCTCTGTGGTAGAAAACTGGGGCAAAGGTAACTCCTCAGGGCTTAGAAGAAAAACCTCTCAAGCTGTTTTTCCAAAAAACCAAGGGAAAAGGCCACAGAAAGGAACTAATTTCACCGCAGTCCCCTAAAGAAAAGTGAAGCAGGATAGGGAAAAGAGGGCTGAGGGTGCAATTTCTGACATAGTGGTCAGGGATGCCTCTCTGAGAAGGTGCACTGAGGACACGCAAGAAAGAAGTGAGGGGATGAGGCACGTGAATACCACAGTGAAGAGCACATTTTAGGCAGAAAAAGTTGACGAGTGCTGAGGCCCTGGGGCAGGCGGACCACAAGTCTATGCATTCCAGGAAGATCAAGGAAGCCAGTTTGGCCAGAGTAGCATGAGCAAGGGAAGGAGGGCAGGAAGAGAGGCCAGAGAACCAGCTAGAGGACAGACCATGAGGAAATTTAGGTCAAGGTAGGGGTTTTAAGTTTCAAGAATGATAGGAAGTCATTGAAGGGCTTTGTTCAGGAAAATGACATGATGTGGTTTTTGTTTTAAGAGAATTAATCTCATAACCTCACTGAAAAGGGGGAGGGAAAAGGAAGTGACCTAAGTCAGTCTGGAAAACCATGTTCTCACTGGATTCTGCAAAGTTAAAGAGAATAAAAACTGTACACATACACCAAACTGTAGTACTAATTAACTATCCTGAAACTACGTCACAGGTAAACTAAGGCTGAATACATAAATTAATAATTTTTAGACAATGGGAGCCAGGTTTCTCACTGTCAGAGAAGGAGGTTATAGATGAGCAAGCAGGAAAGGTAAGAACCCCAGGTTAGAGCGTGAGACATCAGTATGAACTCATGTTTAGTTAAGAATTATACAAATAGATACAGAGCAAGTATAGATATGTGTGGACACGGGTTAGTATACACACATATATTTCCTAGATCTGTCCGCTGAGAGGGCCTAGAAGGAACAACACTCTAGCAGCAACTAGCACATTTAGTGCCTAGATCTTGGTTTCTAATTCCATTCTCCAGTGAAATGAACTAGGGCTCCTTGGACACTTGGCTGATCTAGGACTGGGGCAGGGAAAGTACAAGACGAGCCACAGATGAATGCTAAAATTAGCGGGTGAAACAGGATATTTGCATAGCATCGAAGTATTTCTCCCAAATTATTAATTGCAGTGGAGTTTTTAACATACTCCACAAATTCTTTGATACTGTTTCCTCTAAGAAGCGGAGCTTAATTCCCCTCCCCTTGACTATGGATGGACTCCCTTAGGGTTTCCAAGGAGTGGCTGGTGGATTTGAACCGCCGACCTTTTGGTTAGCAGCCAAGCTCTTAACCACTGCACCACCAGAGCTCCTCTAAAAGAACAGACTAGAGAAAGAGAGTAACTTTTCAGTGGAGAAATCTGGCAGCTATTTAGTCAGGTGATCAAGATTAACATTACCAGTGATAAGTCATGTTGATATCATGTATCCTGGATATGATGTGATGAGAAGGGCATTTCACCTCTGCGGTATTCTTCCCAAGAATTCATAACCCCAGTCTAATCACGAGCAAACAGCTGACAAATCCAAATAGAGGGACATTCTACAAAATACTTGACCAGTACTCTTCAAAAGTATCAAGGTCATGAAAACCAAGGAAAGATCAAGAAACGTTCATAGGTTGGAGGAGACAAAGAAACATGACCACTAAATACAATGTATGATGCTGGATTGGATCCTGGAACAGAAAAGGATATTAGTGGAAAAGACTGGTAAATCCAAATAGTCTGTAGTTTAGTTAATAGTATTGTAGCAATTCAATTTTTTTAGTTTGGATAAGTGTACTATGATTATGTAAGATGTTAACATTAGGGGAAGCTGGGTGAAGGTTATGTGGGAAGTCTCTGTACAATCTTTGCAATGCTTCTGTAAATCTCAAATTCTCTCAAAATTAACTTTCCTTTTTAATGATTATTTTGTCTTCCATAAGTAGCCAAGGTCTTCAAATATTTTTGCTCCCATGTCCTCTAAAAGAATTTAGAAAATTCACTCACACCACCCTTCCAAAAATAGCCTGTTGAATCTAAGTATCATAGCAATTTGATATGACCATTATCCATTAAAAATATATATAAAAGAAGAAGCTCTCATTTAACCATCAGAAATTTTACATCATTCCTTTTCATTCTTGACTTTGTATTTCCTTTCCACTTTCCACTTTTAACAGGGCTTCAACCTAGTTCTTCCCAGCTCAATCATGGCTGAGGAAGCAACACTGGAACAGACCCAAATTTTTAAAATCTGGGTGACTGGGAACCATAACTGGAATGGGAAAAATTACAAGTTGAAGCCCTGCTAGAAAATTAATCTCCCTCTTAGAAAACACGTAGGTGTACACGTTGCATTGCAACCAATTATCTTGCCCGTTGGAGTTTGTGCAGAGTCAGAAACAGTGGTGCCCCACTCAAAGATGGCAGCCAACCATGCCACTCTGAATGTGTGTTGTTCTCTACAGTCCAGCCAATAATCCAGTCTCATGCATCAGGCTCCTGAAAGGGCTCATTACGCCTTTTCTGAATCTCCTGTTCCCAGGCTTCAACCTATAATTTCCCAGTTTCGCTTAATTAACCATGACTGCACCCATTTGAACCAGTTCAAAGCCCTGAATTCTAATATACTTTTTGCGACAAAACTATGATATAAATTGAAATCACTTCCAAAGATCACATTATAGGCGTACAATAGACAGGCCTATAAAATGAACAATAACATCAACAGGGAATGTACACCTCAGAACAATCAACTATATGAGACCTAAATGGCAGCATTTGCCCAAAAGCAAAGTTCAGAAGGAAGGTAGGGGTAGGAAAGCTGGGCAAATGGACATGGGGAACCCAGGGAGGAAGAGGGGAGAGTACTAACATATTCAGGAGTTTGCAACAAAT